TAAGAGCCATTCCTCAATTCATAAATGGTCAAAGGCAATTTTCAGAAGAAGAAATAGTCACATGAAAAAATGCTCTAAATTACTAATAAATAGAGAAATGCAAATTAAAATAACTCTGAGGTATCACCTCATACCTATCAGAGTGAATGAGAGCCAGTTTTGTTTGTGGAAGAGCGTGTCAGGAGTTCAGGAGCCTTGGCAATTTGTGTGTGAGTGTGGAGGAGGAACAGTGAGGCCGTGAATGGGAAAGGGGTTGAAAGGGACCAATGTTGTTTGTTCTTTGTTTTCGAAGAGGACCAATAACATCATGATGTTGAGGTAAAATATTGGATGATGGGTGATGTCTTGACTTGTACATGAATTGGAGTTAGGTAAGTCAGAGCCTCACTCCCTCTTCTAGAGCCATTGAAGTCCAGTGGCAAGGCAAAAGTCAGAATGACTGGTGATGGCCCAGGAGGGAGTGGCATCTTCAATGTCTGACCAAGCTCTAAGTGCTCCACAGCACCTGCTTCAGCTATGTCCATGGCCACTGGAACAAATTATTCTCATCTACCTGTTCCTCTAGGGGAAGTCATCACACGCTTGGGGTAGACATGCCCCTAACTCACCAATGGAAGTGATGTAGAAGAATTGAATGAGTTGGAGAAGATACAGAATGAGCTTAAGGCAGGGGGTATTGGAAGGCTTAACAGGAAAACTAATCTAATTCTAAATTTGAATATATGGTTCTGAGTTTCTTGTAGTGTCAGTAAGGGAAGAAAGTGGACAAGGGGAGGCAACACACACAGTGTATGTGAGAACAGCATGAGTGGACCTAACAACCACGCATAGCCATTATACTTAATACTTGTGTAACTTAAGGCAAGGTGAGTCACTTAACTAATTTTGCCACAATTTCTTCATCTGTAAAATTAGGAGATTGGACTAAATGGCTGAAGATGCCTCCCAGCTCTAGACCTATGATCCTATGAGTCTATGAAGATAATTAATTTACTATCGACAATTCTGAATTCCAGTTCCCATCAGTACTTACCCTGCTGTCCACCATTTTGTATTACAGTAAGGAGCTTCCCAACCTAATCAGTTTGACCATTTGCCAGATATATTAAAGTGGAGATTTCTTTCATGAAGAGACTCGATTTATTGGCTGTTGAGATCTCTTCCTACTGTCAAATTCTTTGATTCTGTGACCCAGGGCAGGTCCTTCTTGGATGTGAATGGCTGCCTAATAAGTGCTCACTTCATGCTTTTCCTCCCATAACAGTGTTTAAATTCTGTCTCAATCTTGACTTTTTGGATCCCTTTCATAATGTTAATTAACCTGGATACATCCTTTTTCCTTCTTCTGCAGTTTTTCTGTGAAGAACAGTTGTTGAACCCTAAACGTTTCAATTAGTCTGGGGGTATTCTTTCCCATGAATGCACGTGGTTAGCTAGAACTCCCTTACAAACCCTTTCTAATTTAGTTACCTAAAAGCTGGCACTATCATATAAAGTTAAGAGGCTAGGGAAAGAGCAACATAGTACAGAAGAGGTATGGGATATCGGAGGGTAAAGAATGAGTGCAATGGCAGAGCAATGACTAAGGAGAGTGAACTCCAAGCCCTTTCCCTTTCTGGAGCCCTATCAAGAATAATACTGTGATAGTGAATGACTATAGTAATCTATTATTTAATAAACCCAAAGACCCCAGCTTCTGGGATAAGAACCCACTCTTTGACAAAAACTGCTGGGAAACTGGAACAGAGTATGGCAGAAACTATACACCAAAATTTTACATCACATACCAAAATAAAGACAAAATGGGTTCATGATTTAGATATAAAGGCTGATACTATAATCAAACTGGGAGAGCAAGGAATATTCAATTGTCAGATTTATGGAAAACAGAAGAATTTATGACCAAACAGGAGATAGAGAGCATTATTAAATGCAAAATGGATAATTTTGATTATATTAAAATGAAAAGTTTTTGCACAAACAAAGCCAATACAACCAAGATTAGGAAGGAAGCAGAAAACTGGGGAAGAATTTTTACTACCAGTATCTCTGATATGGCCCTCATTTTTAAAATATGTAGAGAACTAAGTCAAGTTTATAAGAACACAAGTCATTCCCCAACTGATAAATGTCCAAAGGATATGAACAGGAAATTTTCAGATGAAGAAATTAAAGCCATCTATAGTCATATGAAAAATGCTTTAAATCACTATTGATTTGAGAAATACAAATCAAAACAACTCTAATGTACCACATCACACCTATCACATTGGTTAACATGACAAAACAGGAAAATGATAAATGCTGGAGAAGATGTGGGAAATTTGGAATGCATTGTTGGTGGAGTTGTGAACTGATCTAACCATTTTGAAGAGCAATTTGGAACTATGCCCAAAGGGCTATAACAATGTGCATAGCTTTTGACCCAGCAATAGCACTTTTAGGGCTCTATCCCAAAGAGATCATAAAAATGGGGAAAGGACGCACATGCACAAAAATATTTCTAGCAGCTCTTTCTGTGGTGGCAAAGAATTGGAAATTGAGGAGATGCCCATCAATTGAGGAATGGCTGAACAAGTTGTGGTATATGAATGTAATGGAATACTATTGTGCTGTAAGAAATGATGAGCAGCTGGACTTCAGAAAAACCTGGAAAGACTTGTATGGACTGATGCTGAGTGAAGTGAGCAGAACCAGGAGAACATTGTACACAGTAACAGCCATGTTGTGTGATGACTAACTTTGATAGACTTAGCCCTTCTCAACAATGCAAGGATCTAAGACATCTCCAAGTCTCGTGATAGAAAATGATATCCACATCCAGAAAAAGTACCATGAAATTTCAATGTCAATCAAAGCATACTATTTGCTCTTTTTTTTCTTCTGATTTGTTTTGCTTCCTCTTTCTTGTGGTTCCTCCTATTAGTTTTAATTTTTCCTTATAACATGGCTAATGTTAAAATATGTTTAATAGGAATATATATGTAGAGCCTATATCAGATTGCACACAGTCTTGGGGAGAGAGGGGGGAGGGAGGGAGAGAAAAAATTTAAAACTCAAAAGTGTACAGAAATGATTGTTAAAAACTAAAAATAAATTAAAAATAAAAAACAGAATAATACTGTGAGTCATGGTAGAAGACTAAGTCCCTAAGGAGAGTGATGGTTTTCTCCAAGGGCAAAATTTCTCAATTCTTTTGGGCTTGACTGTATTTTCTGTATCCTTTACTTCTAAATAAAACTTTTTGATATTTTGAAGCCTTGTGACCCCCAGTGCTTATAAGGGGAGTTGGTGGTTACTTGAGGGTTAGCATCTGCCAGTTCCATCCAGGTGGGAGCAACAAGTCAGGCAAGTGAGAGTGTCAGAAGGAATTCTCTGACACAAGAGTTATAGAAATACATACCATAAATATTTACATAATTTTAGATGAGAATGTCATGATAAGTTATTGAAGGAAACTAGATTGTTTGGGAGAAGTCCCTAATATTTAGAGATTTATACCAAGAGTTAAACTGTTTCCTCCCACAATATGTCCATTGGTGCCCCTGTCAGGATAGGGTGCTAGTCTGGCAAAAACAGCCATTGATTAAATTGGTTACGGCAATACCACTGTCATTAAGTCTGCCTGGAAGCAGTAGGCTGAACTTTCCTTATCTGTCAAATAAGGCAGTGGGACACAAGATAAAGAGCCAGGAACTTAAGAGTCACAGGATCTAAATTCAAATCCCAGCTCTGTCACTTCACTACCTTAGACCTTGGACAAGTTTTCTAAGGTCTCTTCCCGCCTAGATCTGTGATCTTATGAGATAATCTCACAAAGTTGTTGTAAGGGTAATATGAGATAATAGATGTGAAATTTAGAGCCCTAGACAAATGTGAGGGGAGGGAGAAAAAGGCATCATTACAGATGTTGAATAGGAAGAGACGTAAGAGCCCAGGTTCCATTTTAACTATCATTGATTTTAATTAGTAACATTAATAATAAGTGTAGTTGCCTTCCAGTTCAAAGATTCTATGATCTCCTCCCTCCAGGGCCCAGCACAATGTCTGGCAGTTGAGAAATGTTTTTTGATTGATCGTCCAGCGCTTATCTAGCAGAGATCTGTCTTTGTTATCGAAGCATAACTTCTTTCTCCAAGTCATCAATACGGGGCAGCACTAACTCTGTAAACAAATGTCTTCCCACCCAACAGTCTTTACTCTCCCAGTAACTGCTTTTACAATCAGGCAGCTCCCGAGTTCCCAAGCTCATCTATGGGGCACATGGTAGAGTAGTAAATTAAGCTTTGTGTTTGGAGATAAAAAGACCTGGGTTCAAATTAATCAATCAATATTTATTAATGGCCTGCTATGTGCCAGGCATTGTGTTAAGAGCTGAGGATACAAAAAGAGGGAAAAGACAGTTCCTGCCCTCAAGGAGCTTACAGTCTAATGCAGGAGACAACGTACAAACAAATATATACAAAGCAAGCTATACACGGGATAAATAGGAAGAAAAAAATAACGGAGGAAAGGCACTGGAATTAAGAGGGGTTAGGGAAGGCTTCCTGTAGAAGGTGGGATTACTTAGTGAAAGCCAGCGAAGCTAAATCTCGTACTTCTGATATTTAGTAGCTCTGTGATAGTGGGCAAGTCAGTTAACACCTCTCCCAGCTCCGGTTTTCTCATCTGCAAAATGGGCCTAATAAAACCTGTGTTATCCATCTGGCCAAACGTCTTAACCAACTCCCACCGTTTCCTCCAGCGCACTGGCCCTGGCAGGCAGCACCCACTACTTGGGCCCTTTTCCACCTACTTCAAGGTGGAGCCGGTGGTCACCAGACAGACACCTGCCGCCGACTCATTCCACCAGACAGCCACCAGTCAGCAGAGTGAGCGATTCAAATTCAGGGAGAGGGAGGCAGCTACACACTTGCCTGGCTCCTGGGGCTTGGTGTTGGAGGGAGGGGGGACGGAAGGAGGGAGAGCGGGCCCGCCCCTTTCCCCCTTTCCCAAGGCTCTCCAGCCAGCGCAGTCCTTTAAATCCCCTGGCGCTCCCCAAGTCAGCTCTGAAGGGGTGGAGACTCCGCTCGGGGCCGGAGCCAGAGCAGGAGCAAGAGCAGGAGCCCGGATCTGCTCGCTCGTCTCAGGTCAGCGAGTGGCCCAAGGTCCGGGACATCCACCTTGGAGGGGAAAGTCACCTTCTGGTGCCTCTGCCCACGCCGGAGCCAGGGAGAGTTGTCCCAGACCAGGAGAGCCCAGAGGCCACCACTGCTGCTGTCCTTGCGCCACCCCTAAGGCGGGGAGCGGGAGGCAGGTTCCTGTGCCCCTGGCCCGTCTCTGGGGCACCCCAGCTGCTCCCCAGACTCATGCCTGGTAAGTGCCCTGGCAGGTCTCCAAATCGAGGGACCAAATTAGGAGGCACCTGCCATCTGGGGATGCTTTTAAGCAGGCGGGTGGACAGCGACCCTCCCCGCACTGTGTTTCCCCCACTTTGCTGCCTTGGGATTTGGTGGAGGGCACTTGTTCCTAAAGGCCACGGGTGGTGCCTGAAAGGGCTTGTCGGGGGAGTGCCCAGCCCCACTCCCAACCTTGGAGCGGGGGACCTCCCCTCCCCTCCCCCAGGGACCCTGGGCCTGCTTGGCCTTGGGTTTGTGTTCAGGGCCGCTCAAATGTGCCTGTGGGAGTGCAGCAGCTGGGGAGGGCGGCCTGGCAGGGACCTGGGAAGAGGGTCTGGTTGGAAGAAAAGTTGTATTTGTGAGCTCACACATCCCTCTTGTAAGAAGGGGACTCAGCAGGACTCAGCGGATTCCTACTATCCTGCGGCTGCTCCAGAGTGTGAGACAATCAAGAGGGACTCGGGGAATCTCCTATTATTGCCACAGGTGTCCGAACTAGATGAAATGTCACAACAAGGTGGTCTTCCTTACTTCTCCAGGTCAGAACCACTTGGAGGGTGACTGAGGAAGGAAATAAGTATGTAAGCCTCTACTATGTGCTGGGCACTGTGCTAAGAACTATACAAATATGACCTCACTTAAGCCTCATAGTAACTCTAGGAGATGAGTTCATATTACAGCTGAGGAAATTGAGGCAGAGGTTAAGTGATTTGCCCAGGGTCGTGGAGCTAGTCAGTGAGGGAAGATTTAAACTCTAGGGCCAGTCCTCTTTCCACTGTGCTGAGACTTCTATGGGTAGCAGGTATTCCAGGGGCCGACTGGAATCAGTCTGGCAAGAGTTTGACATTGTTGCCTGGGGCAGGAGGGGCAGATGTGATTTGGGGTGAGGGGTGGTGGTATGTCTAAGAAATAGAAATCAGCCCTTTCTCCAGGACTGATTCCTTTGGGTTGGTATTAGGACTAGGGAAGGATGGGTGTGTGTGTGTGTGTGTGTGTGTGTGTGTGTGTGTGTGTCTGTGTGTATGTCTGTGTGTGTCTGTGTGTCTGTGTGTATGTCTGTGTATGTGTGGTGAGAAACTGGGGGTTCCAGAAAGATCAAGTTTTAGTCACATCAAAACGAAGTAGCAGCCTTGCTACTGCAAGACAGCCAGTGTTAGACATTGCCACCCCCCCAGGGGAACAGTTTGTACCAAGGAAATGGAAAATGTATAAATGCTTATTTGCCTATAGCTAATGTTCTGTGACTGTGGAGTGCTTCGAGTTTATATAGTCCTTTACAGAAATCAAAAATTTTCATCACAACAGGTCTTCGAGGTAAGTAAAGCAAATAGAATCCCCTGTTTGAGTGATGAAAAAACTGAGGCCCCAAGGGGTCAAGATAATGTGGAAAGTATGTAATGGAGCTCTGACTCGAACCCACCCATTAAGAGTCTAAATTGAGTCTTCTTTCCATTGCAACTTGTCTTGTGTTTCTTTCTTTCTGAGGTGGATTGAATCCTCTGGGAGAAGCTTCTGATTTAAGCCCTGGAGAGAAGTAATCTGGGTTGGGAGCTTTCCTGATTTGAGGAAAGGAAAAGGAAGGGGTGTTTTGATTGGTGGGTGTGCCTATAAAAACAGAAAGGCAGAAAATTAAGTCCAAGTTCATTTTCATAGCAGTTTCTGAGCCAGGAACAATCCACATACAGAGAAGCCATCGTATGTCCTACGCCTTTTTGGAATGTCAGCACGAAGTAGAGTGTTTTGCACATAGTCGGCACTTCATAGTTAGCAATTTGAAAGTGATTTGGGGTTTACAAAATGCTTTACATATACTATCTTATTTGGTCCTCACAACAGCCCTGTAAGGTTGATGCTATTCTTATCTTTGTTTTACAGATGAGGAAACCAAGGCTGAGAAATTAAGTGACTTGGCAGGGGGTACACAGTTAGTAAATGTCAGAAGCAGGATTTTAATTCGATTTTTCCTAACTCTTAAGTGTTAGCACTCTATCCAGTGCACCACCTGGGTTAATAAATGTTTACTGCAGTGGCTTATGCGCAGTTCGATTTTGTCTTCCTAATGGCAAATTCAGGGCCACTGGGGTGCCGGGAGATAAGCGCCATTTGTAGCCCGGGCACTAATTCCTTGTCTAGCCAGTAGGTGTTAGAGGGAGGACATGAAAGCAGGTCTTGGCTCGAAGGTCAGCCTCTCCATCCACTATACCACACCGCCTCTCATAACCACTAGGAATCATATCCTACCACGTATTGTGTTGAGTTCTTGGTAGTAACTTCCCCACAAAGGGAAAAGAGACCCGCAGCCAAGGATGAGCGCCTGTGCTCTGCTTGGATTGTAATTCCTTTAAATTCCAGTCATTGACTATCTGAGTGTGTTCTTCGTGCTCCCCCAAAGCTTTTTCCTCTGTGGCTTTCACATAACCATATTTCCTGCTTCCTGTGACTCACAAGGCACTGTTAAGGGCTGGGGGGGGTAGTTTTTTGGGAATCTTGGGTTTTTTTGGTTTGTTTTGTTTTGTTTTGTTTTGCTTCCCTTCTACTTGAAGTCCTGCCCTATGCTTAGCAACCTGGTGGCAAGGGTGTGTGTGTGTGTGTGTGTGTGTGTGTGTGTGTGTGTGTGTGTGTGTGTGTGTGTGTGTCTAGGAAGGAGGGGGCTGGGTGGTAGAGGCATGGCAGAAGGTAGGGAGGAAGGGTCAAACTAGGATAAAACTGAATGAAGGGGCAGTATTTGAGCTTAAGGAAATGGAACCTCGGAGCTGCTTGCTGTCCCCCCGGCTTCCCCAGGATGTGAAGGTGAAGGAAGCCTCTCCATCTGCTTTTCCCCGATTCTTTGTGGCCCCAGAACAGGTAACTATAGTGGCTGGCGGAGTGATTGCAGGGCTGCTCTTGCTGGTTCTGATTGGGATTATGGGCTACTGTCTCTGGAAGAAGCTATGCGTTGCCCCTGCCTATGAAGAGCTGAATGGAACACCATCCCCGGCTGGTGGACAGGAGAAGCAGCCTTCCCAGTCAGCAGTGATCCAACCCAACAGGTGAATGGCCTTCAGCCCTCCTCCTGGCATGGGAAGGGAGAGGCCACGGGAGGAGGGAAGGAAGACTGAATAAGCAAGCCAAAGGGAGTGGGCGGGGCTATCTCTGATCTGTTGCAGTGACTTTTTTTTCCTAGTAATCCGATTTGTTTGGGGCTTTGGCATTTCTCCCTAAAAGATGAAGTCTTGGGTGTGAAGAATATAGAGATTTGCCTCTATTCTTGAACAAATGAAAGGAAAAAAAAGCATTTATTAAGTACTTACTGTGTGCCAAGCCCTAGGAATAGGCAGAGGAAAATAAGACAGTCTCTTGCTTTCAAGTAGCTCTCACTCTAATTGGGGGAAACAAAATATTTATATGAGAGTTGGTGGCAAGACTCAAGGGTTCTTGGAGCATCAGCAAGTCAGATGGAAGTTTTGGTCTGAAGAGTTTGGGGGGTGTAGTAATAATAATAATAATAATAATAATAATAGTAACCATCATTTATGTAGTGCCAGTCATGCTAAGTGCTTTACAACTATCTCATCTGATCCTCACAACAACCCTGGGAGGCAGGTGCTATTATACAATTAAGGAAACTGAGGTTAAGTGACTTGTCCAAAATTATACAGATATTCAGTGTCTGAGGTTGGATTTGCACGCAGACCTTCCTGATTCCAGACCTTGTGTTCTATCCGTGGTGCCACCAGCTGCCCCAGTGGGGGGTGGGGCAAGCTGGTCAGGACTCAGGGTCCTTCTCTTTGCTTTTATTTGTAAAGACCTGAGGAGCTACAATAGGAGACCCTGAAGGAGAATTTGTACCCCCTTTATATGTTTATGTCTCCCAGCGCATCTTTATCCTTCCTCCCCTCATCTTTATCCTTCCTCCCTGGCCCCATTCTTGTTTTCTGGGCCTGTTCCCCCACTTGCCTTCTTTTATTCTGGTCATTTCATTTCTTCTGTCTTTACTTGCTTTTGTAAACAGGACCCAAGGCATCCCATTTGTTATTCCTCCCTCCTTCCACGGCCGGGATTGGATTACTCTGACCAATGGAGAGAAGATCCAGGATGAGAGTGATCCCTACATTGCCCCAGAATTCCTGCCTCGATCATCTTTTCATTCACTTGGTGAGCAGACCGCATGCAAGCTTGACTCATTCGATAGACATTTATTATATTCCTTCTGTATACTGAATTCTTTGATGGTGGTGGGATAGATATAAAGTTTAGATCCGATGAGGTCCCTATCCTCATGGACTTCGTCTAATAAAGCAATAAGACACAGACAAATTAACAATAATACAAAATTTTCCATAATAAATACATTAGAGGGGCAGCTAGGTGGTGCAGTGGATAGAGCACTGGCCCTGGATTTAGGAGGACCTGAGTTCAAATATGACTTCAGACACATAACACTTACTAGCTGTGCGATGCTGGGCAAGTCACTTAACTCCCATTGCCCAACCAAAACAAAACAAAACAAAAACAGTAGAGTTGCCAAAGTGCTATTGATTGTCCAAAGGGGATCATAATTACTCAGCCTAGAGATTAGAGGGAGCTTCAAATGAAGAGGGAGCGTTTGAGTTGGGCCTTAAAGACTAGATAGGCCACAAGGTGAAGAAAGTGAGAGCATTCCAGACACTGGGAACAACGTAGACTAAGACACAGAGGTGGCAGAGCACGGTATGTTTTGGTGGGGTTTGGGGAGGCAGGGGGGCAAAGAGTTAGGCTGTTTGGCCAGAGTATACAGTGCACAGAAGGGCATAATAGAAAGGGCTGGAAAGGTTCTGGATCCCAGGACTAATAAGATGTAGCAGTAGATACTTCCTTAGATCTCAAGATCTTTCAAATTTCTCCAAATTAAGAGTTATACACAAGAGAGAAAGCAATTTTACCTGTTTCCAGGGTCTAAGATACCAAGAACCCTAAGGCGGAAACAAACTGATGAACTAATGGCAAAGAAAGCTAATCCTTAATTGCTAACCCCCTCCCCCACTGGCCGCCATGTTGTGGCAGGGCTGCACAAGCTGATTCATGGTCTTGCAGCAGAACTCAACCCCTGTGCCCCTGATCCCACAATCTCTGTACCTTGGGAAACCAATAGGCAGAAGTTTCCTGGCTGTGACTGTGTGGTGTGGCAGCACCGTGTGCTGGAAGAATACCCAGGGAACTGATGAACATGGGGAACTAGGGCAAGATGTTGGAGTGTGTATGGCTGCACTGGACTTGAAGGAAAGGGACTGGCATCCAGCTGGGGCCAGTTCTGTGCCCCTAGAAGACACTTAGGGCACAGATGAAGGCTGGTAAAATGTGAATTGCCCATTATGGGAGGAGGTTGAGACAGCTTTGAAGTCCAGTCACCTGGGGAAACTATCATCAGAGGGGAAGGAATCATAAAGTGAGCAGTGGAGGGACATAAGGAAAAAAGATTAAAATTAAGACATCTATGAAAAATGTGGTGAAGCAAAGGAAAATGAATCAACACTGAGGGCAGACAATCCTGTGGATTCTCCAGAGAGCATGAATCCCAGTGGGATACCCTGGAATGCTTTGAGAAATAAGAATTCTGAAAGCAGAATTTTTGGCCAGCATGGCAGAAGTAATTGGCTGAACAGAAAAATATAAATCTATGGTGGTAAGCCACCACAGAAATAAGAGAGTAACAGATTGGGAATGAAAATACATAGAAATGAGGGACAATCTGGAAGAAGAGAAGCAAAAACCAATAACATTAAAATGAAACATGACTTCTATACAAGCACACATCAAAGGGAGGAACGCACAGAGACAACCGAAGGACCATGGGTCTTCCAGAAGCATACACCAGTGCAAAAACCTAAACGACCTAATGCAAGAAATAATAAAAGAAAACTTCTCAGAACTTCTGAACCCGAAAAAGGACATGCCAAATTGAAAGAATCTACAGATCACTTCCACAAAGAAACTTTGTGCTGCAAAACTTCAAGACGTGTAGCAGTTAAATTTCATAATTCCAATGACAAACAAATTCTGCACACACCATAGTGGGCACTTAAAAATGTGTGCATTTAAATAGAATTTGGAGAACTTTCTGTGGGCTCAGGTGGCCAGAGAAGGCTTCACAGAGGAGCTAAGACTTGAGATTCAGTTAAGTAGAAAAAAAGGAAGACTCTTTTTAATTGTAGAGGTTTGGAATGTTTCATATGCTTCCAAATTTGTTGTTTGTTTGTTTTGTGTGTGTGGCAGTTGGGGTTAAGTGAATTGTCCAGGGTCACACAGCTAGTAAGTGTCAAGTGTCTGATCTGAGGCTAGATTTGAACTCAGGGCCTCCCGATTCCAGGCCCAATACTCTATCCATTCTGCCACTTAGCTAGCCCCAACACAAATGTGGTTGTTTTATCAGTTGCTTTTTTATTACTAGAGAAGGGATTGTGAATTGATGGGTGTCTCTGGAAATGACAGGGCCAGTCTAGACAAGGAAAAACAGTGTGAGTAAATATAGAGTAAAAATGGGAGCTTTGTTTGAAAGTGAGTGGAAAAATTTGTTTGAAACAGAAAGACCTTTCTTTCTTTTTCTTTTTGAGTCTATACCTATGCTTTTATTGTTATTGGGAAATGCCAGTCACGAAATTCCCTCCCCCAGGGCAAATCAGCAACTGTTCTGCAACTCGTAATCTCAAGAGAATCGCCAGTGACCATCACTGGTAAAGTGACTTCTTCCAGGGTCACCTGGTCAATATATATCAAAGATGAGACTTGAACCTGGGTTTTCCTACTCTGAAGCCAGGTCTGGGCCTAGACCTGGCTACCTGTGTATAATTCTTATGACTTCTAAATTCTGGAGCCACCTCCTTCATCAAATATCTGAAACTCGATCCAGAGAGACCTTCCCCCCCTCCTCCCTAGGCTGCCTTAGGAGCTTACCGGTCATGATGGGTGTGGAAGCTGGAAGCTTCTTACCCACCTCTAGTACCTCACCTAAACTAACTTCCTTGTAGGAAAAAAAAAGTAATTCAAGGTTGTTTTCTCTGTCTGTTATATATCAGTGTGTCCTCCTCCCTGAAGCTCTTGATGTTTCTGTTTCAGGGGGTGCCTATGTGATTGGGACAATCAATCCAGAGCTTTACAAGTTTCCTGAGGACAAGAGTGAGACGGACTTCCCCGAAGGCTGTCTGGGGAGGCTGTGGTTCACGGTGGGGTATGAGCAGGAGGCCGAGAGGCTACTGGTGGGCCTCATCAAGGCCCGGAGGCTGCAGACCCCCTCCCTGTCAGAGACTTGCAGTCCCTTAGTGAAGCTCTATCTGCTGCCTGATGAGCGGCGCTTTCTGCAGTCCAAAACCAAGCGTAAAACCGCCAACCCACAATTTGACGAGAACTTCATTTTCCAGGTACTGACTCCCCCAGGGAATGGAATGGGGGAGCCCAGAGGTGCATCCTGGGAAGGTTTGGGGCGTGTTTGGAAAAGAGCTTGCTTCCCTTTCTTTTTGTCCATCTCCCCTCCACATCCTCCTAATGCACACATGGTCAGCTTTAGCACTTGAGAGCATAGGAGGGGCAGCTAGGTGGTGCAGTGGAGAGAGCACCGGCCCTGGATTCAGGACGACCTGAGTTCAAATATGACTTCAGACACATAACACTTACTTAGCTGTGTGACCCTGGGCAAGTGACTTAACCCCATTGCCTAACCAAAAAAAAATAGGAATGGGCTCTGTGGGGTTCAGTGGAGTCCTTTTATTTCTCCGTGTATGCAGTCTCCACTTGTTGTCTTTAGCACCTCAACAAGCATTTTAAGCATATTTACATTGGTGATGCAATAAAACGGGGGAGACAAAAACAGTCCCTGCCCTCAATAAGCTTATATTCTGATGGAGGAGCCAACATATAAATAACGATTTATGTGTAAGAAAAATACAGAGAAGATAAAAGGTAATCTCAGGGAAAAGGCACAGGGTGGGATGGGGTTTTCCAGGAATGGCCCCTATATACCACTGCTCAGTTAAAAAAAAACATTTAACATAATAGGCACTCAAGCATTTGTTCACTTGAATTACAGTATTAGAAATTAAGATTAGTATTATTATGAAAGTAGTTTCCAGGATATTTAGAAGTTGGATCAGATTTTATTTGAACAAGCATCTTCAAGAATAATGGAACAAAGAGTAGTAGCTATCAGCCAGGCAATGCACCCTGCAACTTGGAGCCCTGGTGTCATTAGTATTATCTAAAAATAAGTAACTAACGCTCTAATTGGTAGTAGGTATTTTCATTCACTTACACCTATAAGAATTATAGAGCAGTCTCTATTCTTCCAGTCCATTGAGACCTCATTTTTTTCCATTTACTAATGCAATGTGGCTTTAAAAAATTCATTCACCCCAAATCTTTTGCCCCTTCACTTCTGTATTTTAAACGTCAATCATAAAATCAATAACTGTAGTTAGAAAGGACTGGAGAAGTAATCTGATCAAACTTCTTTCCAAATACCAAATATTTTCTTCTAAATTTCTTCTATGACATTTCTGGCAGGTAGGCTTTAGCTTTTCTTTTTAAATTCAATTTTATTTATTTTGAGACCCACAATCTTTCCCTCACTCCCTCCCCACATTGATAAAGCAAAGGGGAAAAACCCTCTTACAAACATTTATAGCCAAGCAGAATACATTCCTGCATTGGCCATGTCCAAATTTAGGCTCTTCTTGATAGGCAATCCATTGCCAATTAAAGGAGTGAATTCTGTTGTTGAACAGGTCTCGTTATTAGAAAGGGTTTCCTTTATATCAGAGGTTCTTAAATTTTTTTGTTTTTGCTTCATGGACTCCTTGCAGTCTGGTGAAGCCTTTGAACCTCGTCTGAGAATAATACTTTTAAATGCATAAAGTAATCCAATTATATTGAAATACAGTTATCGAAATATTTTTAAAAACAAGTTCACAGCATGACTAATGTGAAAATACTTTTAATAGGAATGTATATGTAGAGCACATATCAGATTGCATGCCGTCTTGGGGAGGGAGGTGGGAAGGGAGGGAGAGAAAATTTAAAACTTACATTAAAAACTAAAAATAAATTAATTTTAAAAAAGAAATAATAATTGTACTTAGAATCTCTTCATCTTTCTTTTTGCTTTATCAGCAAAACCAGGCAAGATTAGCAGCTTTCCTAAGCCTCCATTAAAAAGGAATATGATTTAAAAAAAAAAAAAAAAAAACAAGTTCATGGGCCCCCAGTGAAGCCTTGCTTTCTATGAAAACAATAGCCTTTTTATGTAACTTCTACTCATTAGTTCTGCCCTCTGATGTGACACAGAATAAGTCTAATATTCTTCTGTGCAATTCAATTAAAAAACATTTATTAAGTTATTACTATGTGTGAGACATTATGCTAGGTTCTGGAGTTTCGAAGACAAAACAAGTCTCTGCCCTCAAAAAAACTTGTATTCTACTGAAAGGAAATAGCACCCAGAGAGGCAATGGCAAGATGTATACAAGTCATTTTTGGTGGTGGTGGGAGGCTCCTAACAACTATTGGGAGACAGATCAGAAAATGTCTCTTGTAGCTCGAGGTGGCACTTGAGCTGAGCCTTGCTCCAATGGACATAGGGCTTCTAAGAGTTAGAGGTGAGGAGGGCAGAGGGCTGTGATGGCAGATGGTCTTTGCAAAGGTAAAGAAGATGGGTGGCATGGCAAGTAGGCCAACTTGGTGAGTATGTAGAATATGGAAGGGAGAATTATGTGAAATTAATCTGGAAACATTTTGGAAATGGGTTGTAAAGGGCTTTGAATGCCAAATGGGAATTTAAATTTGATCTTAGAGGCAACAGGAGCCACTGAAGCTTTTTGAGCTAGGGAGTGACAGGGTTAAACTTGGGCTTCAGTAGCACCAGTTTGGTAGCTGTGTGGAGGATGGATTGGAAAAGAGACACTACAGGCAGGGAAGCCAGTTAGGAGGCTATTGAAATAGTCCAAGCAAGAGGAGATGAGGGCTGTAACTAGCAGGGTGGGTATGTGAGAAAAGAGAAGGGGATTTTAAGAGGTAGAAGAATCCACAAGTTACCTCAATAGAACTTCAGATATTTAAAGGTGGTTATGATATGTCCTTTGTTGTTGAGTTGTTTCAGTAGTGACCTCATTTGGGGTTTTCTTGGCAAAGGTACTGGAGTGGTTTGCCATTTCCTTCTCCAGTTCATTTTACAGATATGGAAACTGAGGCAAACAGGGTTAAGTGACTTGTCCAGGGGCACACAGCTAGTAAGATGTCTGAGGCTAGATTTGAACTCATGAGGATGAGTCTTCCTAATTCCAAGCCCAGTTCTCTTATCCACTACACCACCTAGCTACCCCATTGTATGGCTTGTCTCTGGACTAAAGGTTCCCAACTCCCTCCATTTTTCCTTATATAATATGTTTTTGAGATGCCTCACTCATCATCCTAATTTCTCTTCTGTGGAAACACTCTAGCTGTTGGTGTTCCTTTTACTATGTGGTTCCCAGAAAACTGGACAAGATCTTTGAGGAGTGGTATAACCAGGGCAGAGAACAGTAGGACTGTTACTTCCCTTTTTTCTGGACACTATTCTTCCGTTAATGCTCCTTAAGATTGCATTAATTTTTCTGGCAACTTCATTGCATTTTTGACTAATTGTAAAAAGTTGCTTCCTTCCAGCTAAATAAAGCTTGGAACCTCGTAGGCAAGACTAACTCATTCCCCATACCCTGCACAAAGGAGTTTCAGGACCTTATACAGAAAGGACCTGTTGAGAGGCATGACTGGGAATCTTGTGGGCAAGGTTAAGTCTCTCATGTCAGCAAGTCTGTAAATGACTGAAATCCTTGTCTTTTTTTTTAAAACATGAGTTATTGTTTAGCCACATCTTCCTTATTCTATACCTGTACAATTGACTTTTTTGAACCTAAGTACAAGACCTTTCATATGTCCCTATTCCTTTACATGTCCCTAATCCATTTCATTTTGTTAGGCTGAAATTATCAAGCTCTTATCAGATTCAGTTCACAATTGTAACCCTTCCAAAACCTTTTTTGTTTTTTTGCTTTACATTTTGATTCTGTCATCCAGTACATTCTAGCTGTTCTCTTAGTTTTGTGTCATCGGCACATGTGACAAATATGCCATCTCTACCTTCATTCAAATCCTTGATAAAAATATTGAAGATAAGAGGGCCCTGGGACATTCCATTAAATACTATAGAAGTTCATATACGTTAAACAACACTTTGGATGTAGTCATTAAAGGGAGAAAGACTGGACTAGAGATTTCATTGGTCCAGACAATTCCCTGATGAAAAAATTTCCTCTATCAATGCAGATTGGCATCTTCTCTGCACCTGAGAGGCTTAAAGGGTTGTTTAGAGCAGGTATCAACCATGCTGCATACAGCCCAACACTCTTGAGAATGCCCCAGACATTAAAATGTAACTGGGAACTATTTAACAAAATAAATGAAAATACAATAAAGCACAGACAATATGACATTTTAAAACTAAGTTAATATGTGGCCCAAGGGATCTTTACATATGCATTAATGATCTTCATTTCTCTAGAGTTTGATACCATTGGTGTAGGTTTGATACAACTTGCCCAGGGTCAGATAGTCACAAGGTGTCAGAAGTAGGACTTGAATTGGTTTTGAAGCAGACTTTCTGTCTACTACTCCATGTTGCCTCTCCATAGTCATCCAATCATCCAACCTTTACCCAACTGTACCATTATCTGGTGCACATCTGCCCCCTTTCTTTCTTTCCAATGCCAATTGGGTTTCTTTCCCTATATCACTAACACTTCCCAATGACTTCTCCACCCCAATGGAAGACTCTCTTAGCAGAACAAATCAACCCGTTGGCCATGTCTGAAAACGTATGCTTCATTCAATACCAGTAGGCCATCACTTCTCTGTCGATAGGCAGGCGACACACTTTACCCTAAATTCAATGAACTCACAGTTGGCTACTGTGTTGGTTAGAGCTTCTGAAGCCCCTCCAACATCTGTCTGGCCAGTTCTTCTGCGTACAGCTTTTCAGAGGAGAGTGCAGAGCTGCTCACATGCAGGTGCACCCCCTAGACCTTACTAAACCCGTTTTCAGCAGCATGCCAGCACTTAGTATGAAAAACAATGGAACAAAATGTTGTACAAGTACAGGAAGGTTGATAGGGTTACCAGACTGATAGATCGTGGGAATAACATAGATGAAATGTATGTGGGTTTTAACAAGGCATCTGACAAAGTCTCCCATGATGTCCTTGGGGACAAGAGAGACAAATACGGGCTACATCAGTTGGGCCATGGCTAAACAGCTTGTGGTGTAATGTGAACGTAATAGAACATTCTTACACCATGAAAATGATGAACAGAAAGAATTCAGAGTAACTTGGGGAGACTTTTATAAGCTGATGTAGAGTGAAGTGAGTGGAACTAGGAAAATAATTTATATAATATGACAATGCTATAAAGACAAACAACTTGTAAAGACTTAAGAACTGATCCATTCGATGACCAACCAGGATTCCAGAAGACTGATGAAGCATGCTACCTAGAGACGTGATGGACTCAAGGGGCAGGTTGAGATATGCATTTTTGGACCCGGCCAATGGAGGGGATTTGTTTTGCTTGATTATGTATATTTGTTATAGGGTCGTTTCTGCTCCCTCCTTTCCACCTTCCCTCCCCCACCTTCAATGGAAAGAAGGTGGGTGAGAGAGAGAGAAAATAAATACTTGTTATTTGAAAAACCAAAGCAATCCCTCAGATCCCTCTTTGGCACTTGACTTGGTCCTGGGTCCCTCCCCCCACCCCTCAGGTATCCAGCAGAACAATCAATCAGAGGGTGCTGAAGTTTTCAGTGTTCCACGTGGACAAGCAAAGGAAGCATCACCTTCTGGGCCAAGTGCTCTTCCCACTGAAAGACGAGATGCTAACAAGTGATGGTCGGCCCATTGTCTGGAGAGACTTGGAAGCAGAGAGCCTGGAGGTAGGTGACTAATTAAAGGTTAAGTTCATTAAGCAAATATCACCCTGTGTTAGAGCAGTGACTTCTTAGGTTGTGGCAGGGTTCCAGTAGACCGCTGGGGTGGATTTTGTAAGGATCATTGAATTTAGGGAAGGGACCTTGCAAGTCATTTAGTTCAACTCCTTCATTTTACAGAGGAGGAAACTGAGGCCCAGAAAGCTTTTTTCTTAATGACTTCCCCAACTCAGGTTCCTCTAACTCTAAATCCAGTGACATTTTCAATGAACCATGCTGCCTTGGATTGATGTGTAATTGATTGCTTGAGGGAAGGAGTGGCTGTGTCATAGGAGCTCCTGTTCTAGAGACTGCCCCGGCTAGGTGTCCAGCCAGCAAAGAACACCCTCCCTCCGATTTACTTTTTTTAGGTTATTAAGAATCAGCTTGGGGTAAATGGAAAGAACAATAACCAGAAAGCAATAGAAAATAAAAGTTGCAAAATTATTAAGAACAATCTTGGCTCCAATAGAAGAGATACGAAAAGACATCTCTCCCCTATAACTTTGTAGAGATGGGGAGGGGGACCCATGGGAATGCACCACATTCTTTTCTTGCCCTGGTTGTCAGAATAACACAGCGAAAAAACCCAACCCCCAAACTACTGACTTTCACTTAAGGAAAGTCTTGTAAGGTAGTACCAACCATGGATGAGTCCAGGAAACCATCTATATAAGAAATGGTGAAAAAAATCAGCAAACATTAATTATCAACAAAATTTATTTCTCAGAGATGGAGAAATTTTGCAAAGAATATAAAGACTTAAGGAAATTGTCCAGAAAGGGATTCCTTAGATGCAAATGTTCTAACTTCAAAGTCTGTTTTGTTGACCTGTTTGTGATCATGCAATCATAGATCGAGAGCCAGAAGGGATTGTAAAGATTATTTATCAATCAGCAGTACACAAAGCCAGGTACTGCGCTAGGTCCTAAGGAGTTAAGAACTTATGTTCTTAACAGGGAAACAACATTTGCACACATAAGTATATATAAGATATATAGAAAGCATATACATACACTATATATAGTAATTTGGGGGTAAAGAGAGGCATTAATAGTCAGGGATTCCCCAGAACAGGCCTTATATGGGAGGTGGGCTTTGAAGTAAGCTAGGGAGGCTAACAGGGGAGCAAGGGAGAGAGTATACCAGTCACAGCACTGGCATGGTGGGCTCCCTACCTGGAATAAATCGCTGTGGCTCTTGGAGAAGGTGAGGGGTTTCGGGGTTTCATGGAAGCCACTTGCTATGCCTTTCAGACAAATCTCTTCTCTAAAGTTGACTGTTCATTCTGTTTTCTACAGCCCCCTTCTGAGTTTGGCGACATCCAGTTTTCTCTCAGCTACAATGATTACCTGGGACGCCTAACTGTGGTGGTGCTAAGAGCTAAGGGCTTGAAGTTCCAGGATGACCGGAATGTTGTCAGTGAGTTCTGCCTCCCTTTGGCTGAGATGATGTCTGGGAATTTAGCCTCCATCACGGCAGCCCTCCTGTCTAGAAGCCCTGGGGGCAGGGATTCTTAACCATTTTTTTGTACCATGGACCACTCTGGCAGTTTAGTGAAGCCTGTGCACCCATTTCTCAGAATGGTATTCTGTTGCCGACATTTATAATTAAAGTAAATGCTAAATTTCAGTTAGAGATTAGTGGTAAGAAAGGTGGAATATTTTTTCCCCATACAGGTTCACAGAATCCCAGAAATCTATTCAGGAATCTGGAGACTGTGGGGGCCGGTGGCCTCTGGTCAGTTAAGAATTCCTGCCCTGGGGGATAAACTCTGTACTCATAAAGTTGCCCCTAACAAAGTGATCACTTCAGAGCCTTTTTATTCTTCTCTTTTCCAATTTGCAGAGTTGGGGCGAGGGAGGCAGGATGGGGGGATGGGGGGTGGGGGGAGAAGCCATCACTCTCCACAACCCATTTCTTCAAATCACACAGAATCATAAAATTTCAGAGCCCATCTAATCCAACCTGTACCTGGACAAGACTATTTTCTATGACACCCCCACAAGTGGGTCATCTCATTTTTTATTGAAGACCACTTGTGACAGGAACCCCTACTCCCTGCCAGGGCAGGTCCTTCTGCTTCGGGATAGCTTTAATCATTAGGTAAGGTTTTCCTCACACCAGACCTTGACACATATCATCCAAAGCCCACGTCCTTCTGCCCTCGGGAGCAAAGCAGCAAATTGAATCCCTTTTTCCCATTAAAGCCCTTTAAATGTTTGAAAATAGCCAGCACAGTCATCCTAAATCACATCTTTTTCAGGCTTAAACATTTCTAGTCCCCATCAACTCATCCCATTTGTTATAATTTGTTATTATATTGTACTCCCTTCTACTATTTGGTCTAGTATAAACTAAGAATCCTGGCTCTGAAGTCAGAGGACCTGGATTCAAATCCACCTCAGATGCTTGGTAGCTGTGACCTTGGGCAATCACCTTGCCTCCCTGGGTCTCAGTTTCCTAATCTGTAAAATGAGAGAGTTGGGTTAGATGGCTTCTGAGTGATCAGTCAAAAAGCATGTTAGTGAGTGGCAGACGCTGTGCTTGTTGGTGGGGCTACAGATACAAAGAAGGCAACCATCCTGTCTCTGAAGGGGCTCACGTTCTAACACAAGTGCATATAAAAGCTCACGTGACATAGATGTAAAGATGATAAATGCAAACAAATAGTATTTAGGAATGGAGGGCATGATGTATAGGGATCCACGAACATATATGTGTGTGTGTGTATGCATATGTATACATATGTATGTATGTGTGCGTTTGTAGGTATACATATGTATACATTATTCAGTCATGTCTGACTTTCTTGTGACTCCATTTGGAGTTTTCTTGGCAAAGATACTAGAGTAGTTTGCCATTTCTTTCTCCATCTCATTTTACAGATAAGGAAACTGAGGCAAGCAGGATCAAGTGACTTGCCCAGGGTCCCACAGCTAGTAAATATCTAAGGCCAGCTTTGAACCTGACTCCAGGTCCGGTGCTCCATCCACTGTGCCACCTAGCTCCCCCAACTTGAACTCCTCACAGAAAGCTAGGGCTTCTCTGAGGCTGGACTGAGTATCTGTGATCTTAGGATACTGCTAAACTGAACCAGTTGCTGTCTGTGTGCCCTGAATTCTTTCCTTTCCATGTTCACACTGTTCTCTATACCTCCCACCACCCCTCTTTTATGCCTACATCTTCCTTTCTTTAACCTCCTGCAGGAAGCCTTCCTTGACCTCTGTCACTAATTATCTCCCCTCTCTGTCCCTGCCACCCCCAGCACTCTGCCCTAGTCTCCCTAATCTCATCCTTTCTCGGGTAGTTTTGATTTGCGAGCATGACAAGTCTTTACCCTCACCCCCACTCCCCTAAGGCTGGGAGCTCTTTTAGGGCAAGGGAAGAGTCAGAGCATAAGGTGGAAAGGACCCAGTGGGAGAAAAGAAGCCAGGGACTTGGTCATTGAGGTGTTTTTGTGTATCCTTTCCCCTCCCCCATTTCTTATGGCCTTTTGGTAATAGGGAAAGTTGATCCCATTTTCCTTAGAAAGGGAGTCAGCCTTCTCTGTTCACTTTAGGCTTGGTAGGATTTCTTAGGGATTAAAGAAGCTTGAGTCCAGAGCCTGGAGTTCCTGTGGAACAGAAATGTTGGGAAGGTCATGACTCCTGGAAGAGTGGGCCTGTTGGCTGGGCCTGGAAACACAGCTGCCATTTTCATGAGATTGCTTGCTGCTTGGGTGAATGTGGTGCCAGGGTCTTGTGTTATTTTCAAATAAGCAAAAATCTTGTCTGGACAATGAAAGCCTGGGAGGAAGGAAAAGCTGTCACTAAGCCTTTCCTAAGATGGATGGGCAGGCTAGAAAGACATTAAAATAATTAACCCGTTTCCTTTGATAATGGCCTCTGGCTGCAGTGGTTATGGGTCATGTTGGCTCAGTTCCCAGAGCACAGTACAGTAGCACGTTTGCCAAACTGGGCATATTCTAGAAGTGGAGGAGGAGGAGGGGAAAATCCTGTCTTGTTCAGCTTGGGAAACACTTCTACAGGTTTAACAGGTAAGAATGGGCATTCGGCTTCTACTGACTGGTTTATTCTGGCAAAATGCTGCCATAGAAGCTTGTTTTCAGTATAAAGATTTTATGGCCTTCCCAGGGAGAGTGTCCCCTCTGCAATCTACCAGTGATTCTCACCTTGGTTTCTTTAGGTGTGTTTGTCAAAGTGTCGCTGATGAACCACAACAAATTCGTCAAATGCAAGAAGACCTCTGCTGTGCTGGGCTCCCCCAATCCTGTGTATAATGAGACTTTTAGCTTCAAGGCTGATCCCGGGGAGCTAGACACTGCAAGCCTGAGCCTGACGGTGCTGCAGAACACAGAAGGGGACAGTAAGGCAGTTTGTCTTTCTTACCCAGAGCTTGGACACTCAGACTTCAAATAACCTTATAGTATTGCAGCAGTAATAATAGTAATAATAATAATAATAGTTAACATTTATATTAACACCTACAATATGCCAGGGTAAGTGCTTTACAATTATTATCTCACTTAGTGAGTAAGGTGCTATTATCATCCCCATTTTACAGTTGAGGGAACTGAAGCAAACAGAGGTTAAGTGACTTGCCCAGGGTCATGTAGCTAGTAAGGGTCTGAGGCTACATCTGAACTCAGGACTTCCTAATTCCAGTTCCCGTGTTCTATCTACTGTGCCATCCAGCTGCCTCATGTTGAGGAGAACAAGGCTGAGAGGTTAAGCGTTTGCTTGACCAGGGCTGCAGTGCCCTGAGTGTCTGAGGCAGGGATCTGAATCGAGGATTTCCTGTCACTCTATCTACCATATGATACTGCCTCTACAGCTCAGTTAGAAAAGAGAGTCCCACATTGGCTAATTGAATTTTGGAGGATTCCTTACTATCACTATTTTATAGAAGATATGGCCACAGATATTGGAATACAAGTTCAAAGGTTATAACTGTTTTCCCACCTGTATAATGGGGAATGAATTTGCTGCTTCTTTAAAGGGAGGGAGGGTGAGAAGTAACTCAAATGTCTTGCTGAGCTAACTCCAATCATGTACAGAAAAGAGTAATGGATGCTCCTCTTCCCTCCCCCACCCCCCTTTTTAATCCAGAAAGCCACCAGCTGGGCCGTGTAGTAGTAGGACCCTTCATGTACACGAGGGGGAAAGAACTGGAACACTGGAATGAGATGATCAATAAACCCAAGGAACTGGTGAAGAGGTGGCATGCGCTGTCTGGAAGCACCTAACTGCTCCTGGTCTGCAGGGACAGCGACTTCTCTGCTTTGGTAACTGTTTCTCTTCCTTTAGAAAACTACATAAGAACAAGGTGTCATCACCATTTCCCCCAACAGCTAGCAGAACCACCAGGCCGGCCTCATAGTGGGGTGTGTACGCAGGGAGCAGACTCTGATAAGATGAAGGAAGATGTCCTCACTGGTTCTACGTCAGAAACAGGGCCTCCTCTTTCCTTGGTTAGCACAGGGAAAATCCCAATATGTCCTCTTTTCTCTCTTGTGGAATACTCTTAAAAGTCCTGTTTTGGGACACTTATCATTGTAAAGCTGAAGTTAAGTCAGAATTTCAGACATTCAGACTGTTTGCAAAATAGTACAGATGTCAGTGGGACAAAGTTTGGTTTTGTCCGAGCTTAAATTCCTATCGGCACACGTGAGCACTCTTTTGTAGGCAGGCTGATTCTCTGTATTCAGCTACAAAAGGAAATACTGTTTTAAGAGGATAGAAATAGGAAGAAGCTAGGAAAATATTGCCCAGTGTATGTGTGCCGTTGTGTCAATGAGAACTACACATGGGTGGAAGCAGTTGATCACAGTAAGAGATGTACGACTTACTACTTGTTTACTTGAAACTCATGTGAACCCTACCTCTAGATGTGGGCCTAAGGGATCTGTAGCATAGGACCCATCCTGGTGACATACAGTGACCTCAAGGTGGAATGAGATTCCTTGGTGACAAGAATGTTGTCTGAGCTAGTTGGAAGAAAATCTCTTCAGAGCAAAGAAATAATGTTACAAGCATCAAAGCGAGAGAGAAAGATAAGCCAGCCATAGTCGACTATAGATGGTCTAAGTCAAAATGACTTCAATGTTCTGATACTTGCTCATACTGTCCTAAGGGACTGAGACAGGGCGCTGTACTACCACAGTGAAATTCCTGATGGAGAATGGATGACCTCTGTTGTGAGGGTTCCCTGGCCAGGTGTGGTCAAAAAATCTCAACTTCTGCGCTTTCATACACTTCGAACTAAGCCACTGCACATTCCCATACTCTTCTGGTCATTAAAACACTTGTGAATCAAGACTAGCGGTCCTTTTCTTTATAATTACCAGAAGGTGCCGACGGCAGTGTATTCGGCGTTTTTGGAGTTTGATGTTTGGAGACAAAGGTTTGATTCCATGAACATTTATACAGCCCCTATTATGCGCTGGTGCAGCTTACAGCAGAATCTGTGAGCCTGGATCCAGTGGAATGGCATTGTTGTATGGACGATTCAGCGAAGGTTTCCAACCATCTCGTGTCACACAATGAACAGCAAATGCATCTCGGATATTTTACAGGAAGTACTGTTTAGGTACGGTTTTCATCTGTCGCTTTTCCGTGTTATCAAAAAAGGAAGAAAAGTGAGGTGAACCATGGGGAGCTGGGATAGGATGTTTTTATTTTTTAAATGTATTATCCATTATAGTTTTATACCTGACAAAAACTTTTGAATGAAATTTCAAGTCACTATCGTCTTCTTTTCTAGATGAGTTTTGCATTAACCATTGTGCTAAGTACCTGTTTATAAAGATTTTTCAAGAATGGAGAGGGAAGGAGGCAACATAGGAAAGAAATTGTTAGAGGACTATTGGTGAACAGAAGTTAGAACCACCCCTTCAGGCTCTGTTGCTGATTGTTTATTGTGCTATCTCTAAGAACTACCCTGACGTACATAATTGGTCATTTCTTCAGCTAGGTAGGTGATGAAGGCTGAAATGGAAAATCTGCCTGTGGAGGCACATTGAGGGTTCCTAACCTACTTATCGCTCCATCCCAGCAACTGAATTCTGGCTGTGGATTCTGGAAGTGGTCTAAAGGAGAGAGAAACTGTAGATTGGTTCAAGGATCCCTGGTGATGTCACCTATTTCCTGCCATTATGTAGCTCTATATCTAGCTAGAAGGAAGCCTAATTTTGTGGCTTTTCCCAAACCCAAACCAATCAAGGCTGGGTCTCTCTAATACCTTTTAACTCTGCTGCTATTCTCTTTCCCATGTTCCTTTTTTTTTTTAGGCTCATGTTTTTTTAGGAATAACTTTTCTGCAGGGTTAATTTTTGTTTTAAGTACAGTCTTGGCACTTCCTCTATCTTTTGGGGGGTTTCCTTAAAGCATGTTAGCATCTTGCTTCTATTGAGAGGCAGTGTCAAGGATCATTAACTCACCATTAAGAATGGTCAGCTGACATCTGTTCAATACCTACCCTCCAACATGTGAGGTGGAAAAAGCATTTCCATCAACATCCCTTTGAAAAGGTTGCCAACCCCTGAACCAGGTATTTAGGACTCTAAGCTGGCATTTGTAGCAAACACCCTTACAGCAAAGCTTAATCAGCTTTTAGCAACTAAAGAGGTCCCTGTGCTGCCTCCCTGCATAACCAACTTTGTAGTTTCAATGTTTTGAGGCCCTGATTTTAGGGGACTGGGGCTTAGGCAAGTTAAAGCATAGTTTCACATTTACTGATAAGCCAAACATTTTCTCTGTGACAATTTGACACTGATTGCTTTGGAGGATTTTACTGATTCCATCTCTACCTGGAAATAGGCAGGCCACTCTCAGCAAACATGTTTCTTTGGGTATAAAGGAATTGATGTAACTGATGACAAACCAGGTCCAAGACCTCTCAAGACAGAGTGAAAGGAAATTAATATGGCAAATTACATTTCTTGTCACAAGCTTCTCTCCCTGTAAAGCAGAGCAAGGGTCAGTCACTTTTCATGTGACAGAAAGGATGGCTTCTAATCATCCTATGAGTCATAGCTTGTGACACAAGAAGCCTACCTGGGTACAGAGATACCACTTAAAAAAAGGTGGGGGGTGGAGACTGACAGAGTAAAGAGAAAGGCTCTTATAGGAGGGGGAAGACTGGAGAATGTTTGTTTAGAGATGACAGGGAAGGAGGCAGTTTCCTAATGGAGAGGGAAACAAGGGCTCCAGTAAAAGAGCTGGCCAGCCTCAATGAGAAGGATCATCCTTTTCTCAGAGAACAAAGGAGGAGAGAACAGGTGAAGAGGCAGAGAAGGCCTAAGTTGTGGAGGAGGGGAGGTGACGGAGCTCAGAGTGAATGGTTTAATTCTTCTAGGCATAGTAAGAAGCCAGGACCTCACTCTGTGCTGAAAGACAAGAAAGTGGTGGTGGCTTTGGGGTTCAACTGAGGCCTCACTTCTGTATCCTTTTAAATTTCCTGACTGACTTGACCATGTTCCCTGCATGAGCTGAACCAAACCTTCTCTGTTCAAACCACCTCTCCCGTTCTTTTCCACAACACAGAGATAACGATGGGACCTATAATTTCACTAATACAAGGGACTCCTGAAGGAGGAAACTCCCTCCACCAATGCAGGACAGTGCCATTTCTATTACTTATAATTCTAGGAAATTGTCTAGAGCACTGAGAGGTTTAATGACTTGCCCAGGGTCATGGAGTCAGTAGGGGTCAGAAGTGGGACTTGAACCCTGGTCCTCGTAGCTCCAAAGCTAGCTAGCTTTCTTTCCATTATTCTATGCTGCCTTCTCAATAGAAGCCCTTTTATTCATTTAGTAAGCATTTGCTGAATGAGCATCTACTCATCATAAGCCAGTAGGAATACAAAGTGAAAACTAACAATCACTAATCAGGAACTTACATTCTACTGATGGGGTGGGTGGGGTGATACATCATGGACATAGGTAAGTAAATACAAAGTATAGTAAATATAAGTAATTTTAGAACAGGAAAGCACTAACAATTCATATCTTGCAGAGGAGCTAGAGGCCATCTATCAAAAGCTCCCTCTTCTCCCCAGTGCTGTATCTCAAATCTTCTCAACGTCATTGTCTTATTTTCTCCCCCTTTGCTTCATTTTCCCTTCAACATAATTTTCACTGTTTAGCAAATTCCTACCCCTACAGAAAATGCCCATTATCGTATAACTATTCTGGATGTAAAAACCTGCTGTGTGACCACGGGGAAGTCACTTAACCTCTTTTAAGCTCACTATCTTCATCTGTCAAGTCATCTTGATCATCTACTTCACAGGGTTCTCTTCTGGGAAGAGATGTAACCCTTAAAGTGCCACACAGAAATGTGACACTATGATTATCACTAGATTATATTTCAGAAGGAAAACTGGGAGAGAATATGGAAAAATAATTTATTTTTTTAATGACTACAAGTTTTATTAAAAATAAAAATATGTTCAAGTTAATATTTCTGGAGCCTATAAATACGCACAATTCTTTTTGCTACATTTTTTGGGAGTTTTTTAGACATAAACCCAAGGTAAAAAGTCTTATTCTTCATTTCATTAAAAATAATAATTTCATTGTATTTCTCCTCCAGTTACCAGTAGTTTGTTCTTCTGATTGCTTAAATGGTTATAGAGAATCATGCTTCAAAGTCGGTATGAAAATCTAGCAGATAGAAGTCTTGTTGCAAAGGGTAGCTATTTTCATCTAGAATAAAAAGGCTCTGAATTTTCAGTGTGTAGGCTCTTTCTCTGCTTGCCAGCAATGAGTGGCACAGGTCTGCTGCAACCATCCCATATGTGATCCCCGAAGACGGGACTGCCAAAAGAAAAAAAGAAAAGAAACCATAATGATACCTTTCCTAGTGGCACTTACAATCATCCTCTACTGTTCCTTTCTGCTGCTCAGAACAAAAGACTCTCATTTCCCTACCTTCTTTTCAGGCACAACAAACAGATGGCATTCTAGCATCTAGTTACTCTATTCCTGTTGAAGAAATGATTATCACTTATGGTGTACCTTTTGTATATCAAAGATGTTCCTTATTCCACTGCTAGCTATAAGTAAGTAACGTGTAGAAGAATTTATTGGCCACTATTACCCTAAATCTGAAACTGAAAATATTCTGAGTGTTCACATCTAAACAGTGCCACTGGGGTTAGCTAAAGAATTATGTGATTAAATAAATGTTAAGAATAGGTGACTAAAAATAATCTCATTGTATGTTAAGTGACTAGATTAATATTGATTCCTTGAAAATGTTCTGAAGTACTGAGATTATAATCCCTCAGGACAAGTGTTATGGATGGACAATGAGCTAAATCCAGCCCAGAGTAGGGGACTGGCTACGTTGCATTTTGGGAACATACCAGCACTCTGAATAATCCAAAGCTGTTTACCTGCCACACAAGTCTCTCTCTCTTTTAAAAATTAAACTATTAATATTTTGTATTATCACCCTAATTCCCAAATATATCTCAGTGTACCCAAGAGTCATCTCTTATGCCAAAGAATAAAAAGGAGGGGAAAAAACAGGTAGAGGAAACTAACCAACCCAGTGATTTCCTGTGCCCACAATGTATATCATGTAATGGGGTGCTCTGTTCTCTACTGGGCACAGAATTGAAGCTTCTTGGATTAATTTTTAAAGCCAGTCCCAATCTGATCCCATCCTACCTATTCAGCCCTCTCTTCATTGCTCAGTTTCCTCATGACTCCTATGTATTGGTTCTAATTTGCAGCTTCCTGCCCTTGCTTACAAGGTTCACCACGCCTGGAATGCTCTCTTCACCAAAGTGTTTCAGTTTCCCATATGTGACAGCAGGGCAGGGCCGGGAGAGCTCTGTGGCTCCACACACCTACAGGATAGCCTGATTTACATGAGGTTGCCTCTCTCTGGCCCAGTGTCTGCCTTCTCCAGCCTCAGGCATGCCACTGCTTTTGAAGGTGCTAAGTTTGAACACTGACCAGAATGATTATGTCTAGGTTAAAAACTAAGAATTGAGGCTAAAGATCTTTCTTGAATTTATGCACTGAGATGATTTTAGGATTAAATCTCATTAATTTATAACTTCTGTGGTTCAGTCAAACCTTCCTCCTTCATAAATGCTAGAACAGAAGGTGAAGAGGATGAGACTATTCATCTGTATTTGTTTGTTTTTAAATACTAGTATCCCAATTTCACCTGTCACTGACACTTCACCTCTGCTGAGAACCCATCTTACCAGTGAGGAAGTTGAAATAAACTGAGAATGTGAAGGTGTACCAACCTTTTCAGATAACAAGAGATCCATTTAACACAAACTTACTAAAGCTTTTTGCCAACTTAAAAAATCCTGAGCAGATAAAACATGTGATCATGTTAACAGATTATAGTAAACATCTCACTTATCCAGAAACCACTCTCTATTGAGACCTATACACAGATCACTAAGAACTGTTTACAATTTAATTTTTGATACAATACCTACAACTCTGCTTAACCAATCAGGTGGAATATTGAGAAGAATCTTCTGTATCATCTCCGATCCTACATGAATGCGAACCTCATTCCTGTCATCAGACACAGTCATTAGAGCTGACCTGGAAAAGGAGACATACCAGGAGAGGCAAAAATCAAAAAAGAAGCTTTGAAACCAGAGCAAAGTTTCAGTGAAATTAGTGATATGAAGCGTCACTTTCTGGTCTAGACTTGATTTTAGCATGCTGAAAACAACTGAGAGTGCTCCTGTGATACCACATCTA